TAAAATGGAACATACTTGTTATTTGACTTAGAATTTTTTTTTAATATATATGATATACAATTATTGCTCTATGAAATAGGCATGCCCATAAAAATTCTTTTTCTTTTATATATTTGTTTCTCTTTTTTCAAAGTTGGAATATCTCTCTAATTAGTATTAATTCAAAATAAAAAATATTCATATGTAATTTCTTTTAGTCTTACCAATCTATCGGTTTTTAGAATAAATTTATTTATTTTGATTATTGTTTTTGAATATGAGTTCTTTTTTCAATTTCAAAACATATTATTTAATTTAAATATTTTCCAACAATGAATTAAGATATAAAAGTTTTTAAACACGATTATGCTGAGAAATTTGTGTGTAACAAATACGAAATTTAATTTCCATTGAATAAGTTTTTTTTTATTAACTAATTCTTTAAATATAACTTGATGACATGGCATTCTGACATGTTAAAAAAATTGTTTAATAAACGCACCACATGTCATAATTCTAGAAGCCCAACTCTCAAATTTTATATATAAAGATTATATTTTTAAAATTGAAAAGGAATTTTTATACAATCTTGTAACAAAAATCACCTTGCTTGGATGGCTAGAAACTCAATCAAATGTCTAGGAGGTTTTGGGTTCTAACCCCCACAAAGGCATGTTTTGGAAAAAATCGCAAGATTAAATACGTGGCAGATGACTTGTTAAAAATATGCCAAGTAGACCCGCCACATGTCGAAATTCTGTGCGACGAGTCTCAAATATTATAGTAAAAGATTAATTTTCACTACTACAAAAATGACCTTTTAAATCGGTTATTTGGACCCTTTTAAATCGGTTTTGAACCGATGCAAAAGCCAGCGATGCAAATACTCAGGTAATTTTTTGCATCGGTTGTTAAAACCGATGCAAAAGCCACTCATTTGAATCGGTTATTACCAAATAACCGATTCAAATGCTTCTTCCCAAATATGGCGGCATTTTTGGGAAGGGGCTTTTGTGTTAGTTACTTTTGTGTTGATGGGTTGAATTTTCTGCAAAGTTGAAATGGAGTGGATCGGGAACAAACAAAATTGCCTGTTTGAAAATTTTATACCTTTTTGAATCGGTTATTTTGTAATAACCGATTCAAAAGATACTCATTTGAATCGGTTATTACCAAATAACTGATTCAAAAACTTCTTCCCAAATATGGCGCCATTTCTAGGGAAGGAGCTTTTGAATCGGTTATTACAAAATAACCGATTCAAAAAGGTATAAAATTTTTCAAACAGGCAATTTTGTTTGTTCTCGATCCACTCCATTTTAACTTTGCAGAAAATTCAACCCATCAACACAAAAGTAACTAACACAAATGCATTCACAAAACTCAAATCAAATGCCACAAAACAAATTAAACTAAAAAAGTAACCATTTGCATCCACGCCACTTGTACATGTTAAAAAATATAAGAGTAAAACTACTACGTGCTCTTCTAAGTTTTAACAATACAACTAAAAGCCTAACAATGCAACTACATTGTACTCTACTAACTTACATTTAATTATGCTATACAATACAACACAAATGGGACTTACACAAGTTCATCGAGAAAACCCTCACTAGCCAACACAATATTTTATTTCTTATGATGTAACAAAAATCTGGCAGCACTTCTTCATTATACAAATGGTCCTTCTTTACACCATCCTAACCCATTTTTGAAATGCCACTCTCACTAGTAAATATATTTCATTTTCTTTGCCCTATCAAAATTTCGGAAACATTTCTCGATGGTTCTGATCTCCAAGTGCACGATGTAACGTAATTATATATGCACCTGAAGAACACATTTAGGAAACGTCAAACCAAAAAATGATGGAACAAAGATAAATAAATACATTCACTACCTAAGTGAGAGAAGCGTTTCAAGAACAGCTCCAAACTGGGAGCTATTTAAAATTTACTCCTAATGAGTAAATTTTAAACGGGTATCTAGGTCGGTCAATATAAGTTATTTCTATATTTTAACGTCTCAGAACATGTAGAATCAAACACAAAGTAATTAAACAATCTATTTTTGAAACACAATCTATATCACAATGTCACATTTCAACTTAAACATATACACAAAACATATATAATAAATTAAATATTAACTTAATGCAAAAATATATAAACAAATAATAGTATAATTAAATATTTAAAGTTAAAAAATTAAAAAAAATACCTTAAAGAAGGGACGACGGCGAGGCTGAAGTTGACGACAGCGAGGAAGGGCAGCAAGCACGGCTTGGCGACGGCGGGGCAGCAAGCACGGCTTGGCGACGGCGGGGCAGCAAGCACGGCACGGCGACGGCGGGGCAGCAAGCACGACACGGAGACGGCGGGGCAACAAGCACGGCACGGCGACGGCAGGGCAACGGAGACGGAGACGCTAGGCAACAACGGCGAACGTCGAGGGTGAGGTGGACGAGGGCGAATTGAAGTGGAGCAGATTTTGAGGCGACACGGGCACGGCGACAGCGTGGTGGGGAGTTGACGACGGCGAGGCAATGGTAACGGCGACGCGCACGACGACCAACGGCAACGACAACAGCAACGGCGAGAACGATGAAGATGAAGAAAGGCTGTAGAGGTTTTTTTTCAAAAACGCGTAAGGATAAGGTAGGGTATGCTGTTTTTTATCAGACTCTTTTGGATCGGTTATTCGTAATAACCGATTCAAAAGGTATTTGAATCGATTATTAAGAATAACCGATCCAAAAGAGTACTAGCTTTTGAATCAGTTATTTCTAATAACCGATTCAAATACCTTTTGAATCGGTTATTAGAAATAACCGATTCAAAAGCTAAGCGATATGCGAATTTTTTTTACCATTTACATCGTTTGTTTTGCTTAACGATGCAAATGGGGCGATTTATTTGGTCATTTTTTTTTAGTCTTTATCACTCTCTTTTTTGAGTTATCTCAAAACAAACTTAGTCATTACAAATGATTCATATTGATTTTCTCAGGACTCCATGAAAATGAATCAAACTATTTCATTTTTTTAAACTACGATACTAACCAAAACCAGTGGAGGGAGCATTTAATTATTTTTTATGGAAAGTCGAAAACAAAAGAGGAGATAGAATCATTGGGATTGATGAAGCCAATGATAGTCTACAAGGCGGCCGCTAAAGAACGGACGAAAACGTCGCGTGGGGTCATTTTGTTTTTCCACTCTCAAAACCAGATTCGATTATTTTCGTATATTTTGATTTCAAAATTAATAGAATGTCGCGTTTGTTCAAAATTGTTTAAAACTTTTGAGAATCAGTGATTGAGGTAAGGATCATTAAATATTGAATTGAGCATAAGGGACTTGAGGTTAAACCACATTAAAAAATGAATCCAATCGATTACTAAATTTAATTTAAGGCTTTATATAACGGTTTATTTTCTCTATAAATTTCGATGTAAGATATCTTTTAACAATTAGATTTTTAAAAATAAAAGGACAATTACCTACGGGTTAAAGTATATTCCATATAATACTTATTATATCATAATAGAACTTAGGGGATGTTTGTTTCAGCCTCTTAATGGTTCAGATGTCTGAATGGTTCATCACTTAATGGTTCAGACTGTTTGTTTCAGCCTCTTAATGGTTCTGATGTCTGAATGGTTAAGTATTATACAGAGTCTGAATGGTTAAGACCTCTTATCTGAATTGATCAGACATTTGCCTCTGAATAGTTAAGCAATATACTAGCTCTTAATGGTTCAGACCTCTTACAAGTTCAGCACTTAATGGTTCAGACCTCTTACTGGTTCAGCACTTACCGATTCAGAAGTTGTCAAACAGCCCCTTAATGTTCAAGAGTATTGGTATAACGGTTAGGTTCCATGGACACTGGAATCTAGTGACCACAGAACCTAGCCGTTTGTATAAAATATAAATTACCAAAAAAATATCACGTAGTATAAAATACCAATTTTCTTCGGCCATCAACCAAAATTTCTCAGAAATCATTAAATTTGCTTAAATTAACTTACCAAAATCTTTAAATTTTAATTAAGTAACTAAATTAAAATACAAAATCAATCTAAGTTTGCATCTCGACTTTTGAATGGGCCATGCATAGTTTAAAAAACCGGACCGGACCGGCTGGTTCGGACCGTGAACCGGCGAACCGGTAGTCCAACCGGTCCGGTCCGTCACATTGGACCGCTACTTGCTTCGAACCGCTCCAACCCGCTGTGAACCGGTAAAAACCGGCCGGTTCGACCAGCCCGACCAGGCTTTTTTTTTTGCGATTTCTTGGCCCAAAAATCACACCTCCACACGGATTCAAAACGAAGACCTCTTGGTTCCAAAGTCGAATCTCTAACCATCAAAGCTGCAGTGCTTTTGTGTTACAAGTTCACTTTAATAATTTTTAATATCACATTATAAAATTTCTTTTCATTTTAAGAACTTTAAATAATATAATATTATAGCTATGATTCAAACTCAAAATCATTGATATAATTGATACTATCACAAATATTATGTAAAGATTTTATTTCGGTGTTTTTAATATAAGATAATTTATTTCAAAAAAAATAAAATCAACTCTTTGTTTATAAAATATTTAATATTGTTTTTTAAATATGTAAATTTTATTGTTAAACTTAGTGACATAACTGAAGTAAATTAATATAAATTTGGTCAAATGTTATAAATTTTTTACTCTAAGTATTTATAAATAAGAGAGAGAGAGAGAGAGAGAGAGTGTGTGTATATATATATATATATATATTAAATTTAAAAAAATGTTTAAACCACCGGTTCGACCAATTGAACCACTGGTTCGACCAGTAAACCAGTGAACCGGTACCGGGACCGGTTCGGTCACCGGTCCGGTTCTGAAAACTATGGGGCCATGTTATATTTATAACTACACTTTTGACTTCATTGTCTTCCCAGATATTACGAGCACAAAACACTGCTCTGTCTGTATAACGTCTGCGAAGGCAATATAGTTAAGAGTGAAATTAACATACGGAGTAATATTTTTTTTTTGTTTTAAAATTGAAGACAATAAGAGAGTGCGTGTGGAAGAATCCAATGCGCCATTCAATGGAGGCTAGCTGTCAACACGCCATGCGTATATTATTATTATTACTTCACGGACGCGTTCAGCTCCTCCCCCTTTAAATTAAGTTAAGTTTCCTCATCATATATCTATACAAATTTTTATTCCTCTAACCTTTTAATTAATTACCTTTCATATTATATGGCTACTGTAAGTGTATATCTATCTATCTATCTATATATATATATATAGCTCAAATCTTATTATTAAATCACTTCTCTTTTGTTTCTCCTCAGTTCTTTGTAATTTTTATTTTTATTTTTAGTGAAAAAAAGATCAGAGGGGTTTTTTTTAATTTTAGTTTGAATTGTTTTGACCATACTTTTTTTTTCTTAGCTTATGATGTGAAAATTGATATTGTTTTTTTTTTTTATAAACTCAGAGGGTGGAGCTTAAGGTAAACATTCACTGCCAAGAATGCACAAAGAAAATCTTGAAAGCCATCAAGAAAATCCATGGTAATTAATCATGTGTATTACTTCATTCAAGCTAAGAACCCACAATAATAAGGATTGTTTCAAATTTGATATCCTCATCTATCTATCCCTAGCTAGCTACCATGATGTAAATTTTCATAATAATTATTCTACCGTCCAACAATTTTTCTTCTAATTTGACTTTTATTAGTTAGAGTTTGTAAACTTTGATCTTGATATGTGAAAAAATGCTACGTATTGTGATATTAATATGATATTAATAGATTACTTTTGAAACATAGTTTTGCAATATCTAATTTTCATAAATTATATACATCTATCTATAAATATATATAGATATTATGTGTCAAAATGAAATACCTGAAACCGTGAATAGCCAAATGAGAAAAAATTAGAGTATTGATATTGTGAATTAATTAATTAATGGTACAGATCTCGAAACATACGACGTAGACACAAAGGAAAACAAGGTGATCGTGACTGGGAATGTGACAAGTGATGAAGTGATCAAAGTTCTTGGTCGGATTGGGAAGGAGGCAACCCTGCTTAATTAAACCCAGTTCTTATGTGGTTAATTACTATCTAGCCCATTCTCCAATTTTGAAGATGAATTAATCTATTAATACTAATAAAATGTAGGAATTGATTATAAAATAGGGTATTTTATTATACGGAGTACTATCTTCACCCCCAGAATATTTATGTAGTTTTAATTTTGTATAGTCTAAATTAATGAACTTTGATCATTAATAAAATAAAATTTATATAAGATATTTATAATGATTTTATTTGATATATCTTATAAAATATTAATGATGTTTTATCTAATCAATATATCATATACTTTTGGTTCACTTATAGATCAAAAGTCGATCTTTATTGATTGTAAAAAGTCAAAAGAACTAGACGAATACTTTGATAAAAAAAGAATAATAATGACCTTTTTGTTGTGCGAAGTTTTAAATAAAATGTAGATTTGATCTAGGTTTGTCACGTTTATAAATGACTTGAATGGTAGCTGTGTGTTGCACGAACCGAAAGTTATCCTGACCTTGTAATTAATTAATCATCTATATCATTAATATCAATACCATGATCGATAGTGCATGCTTCATTCCTTGCACAAATCAAAAGTTACCAAACATTGTGTAAATGGAGCAACTTGGTGGGATTTTTTTTAATGTTGTTGACTCGGTTAGAGTGCACTATTAGTTCATGCTTTCTCAATTTAATGATGCACAATGAGTTAATGTCTCCTCCTCCACCATTGATCGAACTAGGATAAACTTCTCCATGAATCTTGGAAATCGGCTTCCTAACTCAGGTCAAGCAAGACCCCCATGAATCTCGAGAAGAAAGATTAAAAAATAGAAACCATAAAGTTCACCATCCATGACAACCAACGAAGAAGAAAACTAAAGAAAAAATAGAAATATAGTTGTAAATTGAAACTCTGGTTAATGGTCTGTTCCGTAAGACTTATTTTTTCTACTTATTATTTATTTTTATTAAAATTAGATTAAATCTAGTTAGATCAGATCCAATCAAATCAGGTTCAATCAGATTAGATTAAACCAAATCAAATCAGATCAGATTCAAATAATTCAATTAAATCACAATCAACCAGATCAGATTAAATCTAATCAGATCAGACCATAACTTAAAAAATTCAAATCCGATTCAATCATATCAGGCGTACGGAACAGAGGGGTTTTGTTATTCATTTGATAAAGTAATATAAAGTATAATCATGTGAGCACTAGTTTTGTAGTTCTTTTGATGTAGTTTTTAAACTAGTATTTTATATTTTTTAATTTTATACCATTTTCTCATATAAAATAATTTAAAAGTAACTTTCAACAAACATCGTAAATAGAAACACCCAATTCAAATTGTGACAGAGAGTAGAGAGAATATGAATTTTAGATTGGAGATATCAAAATTCACATATTTTTAGCTCACCAAACGCACTCTTATTCTATCGCTTTGAACCCTTGGATAGTTGGATGAGAATATGAGATGTCTCGGTTTGCAATTTGCATGCAAGCCTGCCAAGTGCCAAGAATTTGCTTATTTCTTTCAAATCCATCAAATCAGCGCCAAAAACCCTAAATCTAAACATTTCCCCATTCTTGGCGCTCAAATGTTCCCGACCACCACTCTCTTCATCCACTCGTCTCTTCTGTCCAAAACTGTTGATTTGCCGATCAATTGGAATGGGGAGTGGAAGAAAACGGCGGAGAGCAGCGGAGACGACGCAAATCTACGACACAGGGGAAAATACCGCCGGCGAGGATGAAAAGGAACGAGAAGAGAAATATGCGGAATCGAAGAAACCCAACGACACAGGGAGGACTAAAGTGAAAGAAGAAGTGGAAGAAGACTGCGTTTCTGGGAGTCCAAAGGCCTGGAAGAAAACCCCGGCCTCCAACAGCCATGGACAGGATGATGGTGGGCTTGATAAGCACGAAGAAGGTGCATCGAAGAAGAGCAAGGAAAGAGGAAGGCCAAGTAATGCTAATGTTTGTGAAACAGGTGACAAAAAGGGATATTCCTTGAAGAAGGAAGGCGAGGAAGAGGATGGAGGCCACAAGAAATTGGAGAGCGATGCCAAAGAAGTCGATGAGAACGGAGAGAAGGCCGCTTCAGCTTGTAAAGCAGCCCAAATGCATAGAAAGATTAGCGCGCATAATCCACAAGTTACTCATTCTTCCCCTTTCTTGTGTAAATGATTAACTTCCTTAAGTGATTGTAGATGCAACTTTGTGAATCTAGTGGATTGCGGAGGGGTCTGTTATGTGCCATCAATGCCAGAGGAATGATAAAGGCCGAGTTGTGCGATGCCAAAAGTGCAGAAGAAAGAGATATTGCATCCCTTGCTTAAGAACTTGGTATGTCTATGTAGTTGCACCAACTTTATGTTCTTTCTCATATTTACCATAGCTATGATTCACAAAATTGATAAGTCAAAGATCAGAAGAACAGTTTGGGCAGCTCTGATGGAAATCAAATATAGAAGTTTTACAGTTCCCATTGCTGATAAAAGAAGATCAGGGTCCAGGGATATGGGGGGAAGTGTCACCATATGTGCATATCACATTTGTGGGCAGTAAAATCTTAGAACAATCTTTACCAGTATACCCGCTTATCTGCATTACATCCTGCATTCTCTCTCAGCAAAAAATAAAAAATAAAAGAAGACATGGAAATGAAAGAATTCATTGTTGCATACATGAGAAAGATAAAATTTGATCACAAAAAGAAAAAAAATGAGCCGTCATTTGATATTTTACATCCAATGAAATAGTGCTATCCCGCAAAAGACCAACAACCCTTTTTCTGCGAAGGCTTTGGACTATTACTGTGTTTAGCTTCCACTTCACGCTCGATACATAGTTTATTTCATTAACCTCAATACAGCAGCTTTCTCCCATATTATTAGTGCCCACTTAGTTTCTTCAGGAGTCCTAAATGACGATTTGTTTATGAAGTCTTTTTCGCATGTGAGTTGCCTTCTGCTCCATTGACCAGAATTATTTTCAGTTTGTGTGTGATATGTTAGTTATCAGATATGTCATTTTAATTTTTGTGACATTTCAAGAGTTCTCTAAGTTGCCTTTCATGATTGATGTAAAAGAAGTTAATTGCATGTCCTTACTGCAAAGTCAAGTTTGGACCCAAAGAATAGTGTGAATACAAACAATATGGTTAAATGGCAGCCTTATTTAATTTCCTTGTAAATCCTCTTACACTAGTAGCTTGCTTGACCTTGAAAAATTTATATGAGTAGAATAGTTTAATGTTTGTGCTGTTGGTTGGTTATCCTGAATCCAAACACAATATAGATGCCTATCCTGCTCGATCTTTTACTGTTTTTTTACACAATATGTATGTTCTGGATTTGAAGGTATCCACATATGCGGGAGGATGAAGTTGCTGAATGCTGCCCAGTTTGTCGTGACAATTGTAACTGCAAAGCCTGCTTGCGTCTAGATGTGCCACTTAAAGTAAGATATCTTGCCATCTTGCAAATCATATGCATTGTGATTGTTTTTTATATGCAAGAGAAAAGTCTACTAAATCGTGATTAATCTTGTAGCAGTTGAAGAACCCAAAGCCAGATGTCAGTGATGATGAAAGAGTTCAATATGCTAAGTTTATGCTACAGACACTTTTACCATATTTGAAGCAAATAAACAGTGAACAAATAAGAGAGAAGGAAGTGGAGGCTAAAATACATGGTAGTTTCTTGTTGATATATTATTCCAAGGCTTTGGCAACATTATTTGAGCTGTCAGTCTTTTTCTGGATAACACTATTTGATTGGATGTGAAATATCAAAATTGGTCTTTCTCACACATTGAACCAATGAACTCTTTACATGTCCATGTCTTTATCCCTCTGAGCAGGATTACCACTCGAAGACTTGCTGATAAAGAGTGCAGTATGTGCCGTGAATGAGCGAGTGTATTGGTAGGGGCTGTTTTAGGATTATTTTTTTGCACATATATGGTATGGTGACACTTTAACACTTCCCACCATCTCTTCAATCTTTTTTTAATCTGCAGTGACAACTGCAGAACTTCTATATTTGATTTCCATCGGAGTTGCCCAAAGTGTTCTTCTGATCTTTGCCTTATGTGTTGTCGGGAACTTCGCAATGGAGACCTCAAGGCAGGTAGGGAGAAAGTAGTGGTTCAGTACGTTGACAATGGTTTTCCTTATTTACATGGCGGAGAAGCAAAAAGAGCCAAAATTACTTCTGTGACTAAGGATGATATACGCTTACTTTCTAAATGGAAAGTGATGAAAAATGGAAACATATCCTGCAATTGTGGTGATGGCATTCTTGAGTTGAAGTCTATTTTCCACGACAATTGGATATCGGAGTTGGTAATGAGAGCTGAGGATGCTATTAGGTCTTTAAATCTCGGGGAAGCAAACACAAATGCAGTACAATATTGTTCATGTCTTACTTCTACAGGTGAACAAGACTTAAGTGGCGAAAAGTCAATAAAATCTTCTTCTCGGAAAGATTGTAGTGACAACTTTTTATACTCTCCAAAGGCAAAAGATATTGTTCATGAGGATTTGATGCATTTTCAGCAGCACTGGGTGAAGGGTGAGCCAGTGATAGTTAGAAATACACTTGAAACTGGATCTGGCTTAAGCTGGGAGCCATTTGTTATGTGGCGAGCATTCCGCCAGATAACATACCAAAAGTGTGGGAAACGTCTGGATGTACCGACCATAGAATGCCTGGATTGGCATGAGGTCAGTAACTATTGATGAAAGTGCTTGAGTTCTTGTAGTTTATAATTCAGTTCTCATAACCTTTAGTCAAGTAACGTAATGGACATAATTTGACATGGAAATTTTCTGTTCTCTTTTCATAAACCTATGTTTCATTCAAGGAATTTGAGAGGGAAAAGAAATAAAATGAGATGGAAAACAATTTTTCATGTTTGGTTAGAGAAAAAATGTTAGAAAAGTGGAAGGAAAAGAAAATAAGAAGACAAAATAAGCCAGGAAGAAGGAAAATTGGATTCCTCCCATTTTGGTGAGAAAAAGAAGAGAAATCATTTTCTTTTTATTTCCTTCCAAATTTTCTTGAACCAAACATAGGGTTGAAGTAAACTTGGAATAATTATTTCATCAGGTATTTGAAGGAATAAATATATTGTTGCGAGCTGGCAGCAGATTCCATTTTTGTTATGGGGGAAATCATGCTGAAATGCCAATACTCCCGGAAATTTCAGATTTTACATGAATACTTCAAGATTGCAAAATTTTAACCAACATTCCAAAAATCTAATATTTTTACAATAGTTCTACAATAGAATTCTTAGTTTACATGGATCCCTTGATTTTTTAGGTGGTTTTATGATCAATATGCAATATTGGATTATTGTTATTATTATTGAAATCTTGAGTTTTGGGAGTGTCTGTGATAATTATACAATATTGGAGTATTAACATAAAATCTCTTTTTCCTCAAAATATCTATGTATATATATGTGTGTGTGTGCATACACACACACACTATTGCTATATTAGGTTATTAATGAGATTGTTCTTTTCAAATGCAGGTAATCATTAATATCCATGAATTCTTCAATGGATACTCAAAAGGCCGATTTGATAGTTGTATGTGGCCTGAGATGTTGATTCTGAAAGACTATCCCCCATCTACTGAATTTGAAAAAGTATTGCCGCGCCATGCTTTTGAGTTTATTCATATCCTACCATTTAAGGAGTACACACATCCTAGACTTGGACCATTGAATCTTGCTACAACATTGCCTGTGGAGTCTCTGAAGCCAGACCTGGGACCAATGACGTATATTGCTTATGGAACAACTCAAGAGCTTGGGCGTGGAGATTCTGTAACCAAGCTGCACTGTGACATGTCTGATGTGGTAATTTGTCTTTCCTAAATGTCTCATAGTTATTTTGTACTAGTGGCTAGTGCTGATGCATGGCTGGACATGCTCTCATCTATTTTATAACTCCAACTTAAGAATAAATTACCAAAACTAGAATACTCCATATTATTAAGAGTTCCAACATCTACTAAAGTGGGAATCACAAGTCTAGAATATTCATTTAGTATTCCTTTTTGTGATGTCCCACAATATTGTCCACTTTACTTTTATGGTGATTTTCAAAAATGAAATGGCTATTTTACACCGATCATTTATTCCACAACCACCCAACCCACCAAAACCCATTTACTCCAACCCTCCCTATCAAGGTTGTCCAATGTTACACATGTTCATTATGGTTTACGTGCAGGTCTGTGTTGGGCCTCTTATTTATTTATTTCAATTAATTAATCACAAAATATTTATTTATTTATTGATATTTTTTTTGTAGTTGCGGTACTCTTTTTTTTATAGCAAACTTTATGTGATGTCAGAAATACTTTGTTGGACAATTTGGATCATCACATGGGCCTAACCTCAGTTCTTCATGTCCAAAATTGTTTTCCTTGTAGATTTTTCTCTCCAGACTGTAAGTTCTAAAATGTGTGGGGTTGTTGATAGTAAATTAGTAACAATTTCTTGGTTTCATTTTGAATTTTTTGTTTGTGTCTTTGTTTGGCCATAGTGTGATTTTGTGCCATTTCGATGTTGCAAGTAAACATATGGATTTGCTTCAAATCTTTTATCCTTGACCATTTCACATTTATTTTTTGAGCTTGTCCTTTATTGATATAGATAGCCCATAACCATTCCCCTATGTTTGATCTCATATGATGTATTTTTAGGTTGCATAATTTTGTCTCAATATCCAAATTTATCCATTCTTTCCTCATATTACTGTTTTAGGTGAATATTCTGACACATAATGCCAAAGTGTCCATTACACATGACCAGCAAAGAGAAATTGACAAGTTGAAACTGAAGCACTATGCTCAAGACCAAAGAGAGATATTCAATGTCAACCAAGCTTACCAAAGTGCTGAAAAAGACTTGCATGCTGGTTCGTCTAGTGAAGGAGTTGGTAAAAAGCATGGTAGTGTTGAATCATCCGATCCCCCTCGACAGGATAACTATGGTGTGGATCCTGGGTTAGTTAAGCCCGAATCTCCAAGGGTATCTGAGAAAACCAGTAAAGACTCAAATATAGTTGATGGTTGCATCATTGGTAGTGCTGGAACATCTTCAAGTTCTCACAGTAAGTTGCTGGAAGTAGCTGATGGTGGTGCTCTCTGGGACATATTTCGTAGAGAGGATGTTCCTAAGCTGTCGGAATACCTAAAGAGGCACTTTAAGGAATTCAGGCACATTCATTGCAATCCAGTGCCTCAGGTAGATGCCAATAAATCTTATTGCAGTATTGTTGTGGTTGCTTATTTGTTTCTTAATAACACTCAATCTGTTTCTTTACATTGTTATAGAGAGATCTATAGACTAAGAACATTTTAGCATAATGCACTTTCTAAGTGGTGGAGCAGAGGAGTTAATTGTTACTCTGTATTAATTTATTATTTTCTGCGTAGTAGTTAACTGCTTAAGTTATGGTTGCAACTTATTCAATTTTTCAATAATGATTTATGTTCGATTTGGGTGCAATGGGAAATTGGTTTTACTTTTTTCTCAATGCACGGATCTGTTTTTTCTCATGAACCTTTTTTTGGCAATACAGGTTGTCCACCCTATTCATGACCAGACAATGTATTTGAGTTCAGAGCACAAAAGAAAATTGAAAGAGGAATATGGTACTGTACTGGTTCTTTCACATCTCTTTGATATGTGTGGGAATTTAATAGTTGTTATGAAGTACTCTTTCCGTCTTACTATTTTTGGGACATGAGGGAGTGACACAAAATTAAGGAAAATAAGATTGTGTGATTGGTATTGATTTCAAAAAGTAAGATGAAGTAAGAATGATTGTGAATCATACAAATCTGACCAGATATGATATGAGAAAAAATTAGCGGGATGGACATACAAGGCAAAAGAGAAAAAATAGTGGGATGGAGAGAGTAGTATTTAGTACCCATATATAATGTCTGTATGAAGATGAAAGTTACATTCTTTGCAATTTGTAGGCATTGAACCATGGACATTTGTTCAAAAACTTGGAGATGCTGTGTTTATCCCTGCAGGGTGTCCATATCAAGTGAGAAATCTGAAGGTAAAAGTCTATTTTAGTTCACGGTTTCTTTTTCTTATGAACACTTGTGCTCAGCTTCAAATTTTAATGGTATGTCCTATGTACATAATTGTATTTTCTAGTATGAAAATCTCAATAAAAAATATCCATCTAATTTTGAGTTCTCGTTTCCTTCTTTAAGAGAAATTATTAGGAGCACCCTGGTGCTAGCGTGTTAGTATGTTAGTGAACATGGAGCATAAGAGTGCCACGCATGGTAGCACAAGGGTGTTCTTAATAATATTTCCCTTTTTACTTCCCTTACACCGTGTTTGGTTTGTGGAATTTGGAAGGAAAGGAAAATAGAGAGGGTTTCTCTCCTTTTTCCCACCAAAACAGAAGAAAAATCATTTCCCTTCTTCTTAGTGCATTTTCTTTCCCCATTTTCTTTACTTTTATTAAGGTTCTTGGATGTTAAAACTGTTTGTTTGCATTTTTGCAGTCCTGTATAAAGGTTGCCCTTAGTTTTGTCTCACCTGAGAATGTAGGGGAGTGTATTCGATTGACAGAGGAGTTTCACCTTCTCCCCCCAAACCATGAGGTTAAGGATGACAATAAGCTGGAGGTATGATGGCTTTTCATTCCATTTGGTTTCTTTTCCCAGTTTCACTTGTCATCATCTTGATTGCCATGGCTTTTGGATGGTTTGGCATATAGGCTTTGAAATTGAACTGAAACACGAGTTGATTTAAATATCTGTGGAGTTTGTGCCGTGTTTGTTATTTAATTGATTTAAGTATACAAATATTAAGTGTCTTTCTTAGGACTAATTAAGTGTAATTGACTTATTGTTGTTACATTTTTATTATTATTATGTGCAAGAAATGGATTTTTTGTTAAGCTCTGGCCAAACTTGGTATTCTCGTGGAGACAGGTGAAGAAGATGATACTATATGCTATCAATCAGGCTTTGGAAGTTTTGGGCATTAAAAGTTTTGGGCATTCAAATATGAAGTGAGTGATTATGTTTTTTTAAGATTTATGATCCTATTTGATGCTGTTGTTTTCCAACAAGAACTGCCTTCCGAATAATGACTTTGAAAATATTGGCCTATTTGTGAATTTGCTTGCAACCTTGCACAGCCCTGCTCCCTAGATTTTCTTGCAAAAATGTCAAAAAGACGTTTTGAACCAAAGTGTTTTTCATTCAAAATAAAAATTCTAGTGTTGTTGAATTTAAGCTTGAGTCTTCATACATTTCTGTCAATTGAAGTGTGTTGATCATATCAATTTTAATAACACGAATTGTTAAATTTCTTCAGTTGGATTTGGATAAAAACTAGGACGCTTATGGTATGTTTGGGAACATGGATTTGGATTTCAAATCTGGATTTGGTTCAAATTCCATGTTTGGGAAACTTAAAATGATTTTGGATTTGAGTCAAATTCTTCTCATTCATAACAAAGCTTAATTTGAAATCCATGCACCCCCTCCTGTCATTTGAAATTCAAGATTTCAAATTTTGGAATTGAAATGCATGAATTGAAATGAAATGCTAGTTGCCAAACACTACCTTAAGTTGTTCTTCAAATTTTAGGATAAAGATTTGTGTTTTCCCATCTAAATTATATATGAACGGGCTGTTCGAGATGAAATTGGCGAGTAAATTACTCATATAACATTACAATGACTTTTTTTTCTTTCCTTGCAGCAGCTCAGAGTACAAAACCAAGACACGAAGAACAGCGAAATCCAAGAAATCCAGAAAATAGCTGTATTCAAGACTTTATCTAGCATGGTATTTGCAAAAAAAAAAACCGTGTATCTTTTGACCACTTTTGATCTTTATCAATACAATCATTTTTTGTTGTTTTGAAAGCTTGGGATGCAATGGAAGAAACTATTGATGTTAAGCACTCTAAAGACATCCAAAAAAAAGTGAAGTTCATTTGGCCTAGTCCAAATCAATCCTCTATCTCTTAATCGTTGTTTGGCACTTTAACTTGTCTTTGGTTTATCTATCTTAGTTATAATTGTTGATCAATTAGAGATGCCCCTCGATTTATATGATTCTGAGAATACATAAAAAACTTTCCTTGACAACCTTTCAAAAGCTTGAGCCTTGGTGATGGGTGTTTGGGGATAAAATCTTTTCCAGGTTTATAATTACAAAATTGAGCTTATGATTGAGTTATTTCTTTGAACCATTCATTGGACAAATAACGAAATTTCTAAGCTATGTTTGTTTGTGTTGGGGAAACAAGTGTTATCGATGTCGGTGTCTATTATTGTGGTGAAGCAACAAGATCCAAGTATAATAGAAACTCGTTAAGCGCCTATTATACGGAGTATGTGATTGAGTGTTAAATTTTTCAAGATATTCATTTGTTACTATGATTGGTTGTTAGCAAGGTGTAGAAAACATGAAATGCCAATCACAAACGAAGCACACTTCGTGGAAGTTTTAGTCAAAGGAAGCTTGCTCGCCTTACTTCTTTTTAGACTTTAGAATTATGAATTTGATTTTTAAATATATTGTTTTAACAAAGAATTAGCTCCATGTTTTTTGAATCTTGAGTTAATTTTAAATTTTGTAATCCACCATTATATAATTCGTGGGATTTTATTGTGTTGTTATAATAAAGTTTAGGGATATTTTTTTATGTTGTGCCTTTTATCTAAATTTACAGTGTAAAAAACTTAAGAAGATAAAAACAAAAAATTATTCAAAATCAACTGGGAACCATAACTTTCATCGTCATGATCTTGCCTATACTAGAATTGGCAATTTCAAATTTAGAATCAAAACAATACTAGAGCTACATGTAGTCCCTAGTACTCCCTTCGTTCCAAATTAAATTAATTGTTTATTACTCTTTTCTCACTTGCAAAGACAAATTTCATTCACTTTCTTTCTCTTTCTGTTACTCATTTGATAAAATAATATTATCATGTTACTTTTTATTTCGTAAAGCTTTTATGTAATTTTTTAATATGTAAATTTTTTATATATCACATTGGTTTTCTAATAATAAATCACATTGAATATAAGTACAATTAAACATCATAAATCTAAATATGCAATTTATATCGTCATGGAGGGAGAATAATTAAATCGCTTACTCTTGGATTGACACCTTTGGCGGTGTCGCGCGTGAAGCCGTAAAGTTGCTTAGTCGAGTCCAACAGCTCATTCAAAGTTATGTCATTACCTCTAGATCTATTAATGGAGTTTTCAAAAGATTATTAGTGTTATTCAAAAAGGGTCAACGGTGCAACTTGTTTTATGTTTCCTTTCATTCTGATGTTTTAGTCAATAGAAATCACCCTAAATAGAAATAAAACATAGAGAAAAGTTTCAAAATAGGACTTTCATATTTTTTTTTTGAAATAAGACTTTGCACTGTGGTAATGTGACAGTGTACATGTGCACATTACTATAGTTTTTTGGTAATGTACATAACCATGTTTGATAATGTAAGTCCTATTTTGGGAATATAAACATGAAAGTTCCTATTTTGGTATATTTTCAGTGTTTTAGTCCTACTATGTCTTTCTCCCTTATTGTCAATTCATCTATACCTTTTATTCTTTTATAAACTTTTAACATAATTTCTAAATATAAAATTTATTTTTTATTTTTATACCAGCATTCAAAATAATAAATTAAAAACATTTCATTTTATCTTGTACATTGGGGATGGAGGGAGTAAAAAGGGAGAAGCTAAAAGAAAAAAAAAAAAAGAAATAAGTTTTTTTAAAAGGCGCAATTGAAATATTAAAGCACAACAAAATTCCGTACACGTGGCATCCACTCTCTCCCCCATGCACTTCCATTCCAACCCCATTCAAAAAAAAAAAAAAAACCCCATTCATCAATCTGCAATGCAAAAAAGATTGACAATTTTTTCTCTTCCTCTTCTTCTTTCTTCATTTTTTTCCCTCGAGCAATCAATCATTATTTCCGTTCATCTCCGGAATTAAAATCACCGCCGCGCCGGAATGGACTTGCGGGTGCCGCCGCCGCCGGGACAGCTACCCGGCGACCCGGAGAACAAATGCGAGGCCATAATACACATCCATTCGCCCGGGGTGTGGGACGTGGGGGACCCCAACTACCCGAGAGGACTCTTCGACCATACGCTCCCCCTTCTCCTCCTCCAATTGTGCATCGTCTTCACCCTCACCCAATCCCTCTATCTCCTCATCAAACCCGCTCGTATGCCCCGCATTGTCGCCGAACTTCTGGTAATCAATAACATATCCCACAAATTTTGATCGTTAATTAAACTATGTAGTTCGAAAAAACGATTTCGTGTGCTCGTCCTTCCAATTCCATCAATTCCATGTTCTGATGTTAAAACCAAATTTTATTGATTTGTTTTGAGGTAAAACAAGAAAAAAAATAATGTTTGTTTTGCAAAGTGCAGGCAGGGATAATACTGGGTCCTACAGTGCTGGGGCAGATACCCGGTTTTACGGACAAGATCTTCCCTCCAAAAGGGCATGTGTACCTAGACTTGTTGTCCAAAATAGGATACATCTTCTTCATATTCCTCAGCGGGGTGAAGATGGACCCCACCCTGGTCCTTAAATGTGGGAGGAAGGCTTGGACCATAGGAGTCTTGGCCGTCGTTCTTCCCTTTGCTGTTTTCTCCAACTTCTCTGCACAGCTCACCAACTACCCTTCAATCCATAGGTAGGTACCCTTAAATAATAATTAGGGCACTCTAATTACCCAAAACTCATAAGAATTGATTCAATAGTACTAAAACATAATGACTTTCTCAATATAAGACCATATGTTTTTATTTCGCAATGTAGGACCATTGGTCATTATCTATTAGTCATTATTCAATTAAATGTCCAGCATCACTTGGACATTATTCTTTTCACTGGTCATTATTAAGTTCTATGTAGGGAATAAAAAAGTTTAAGTCCTATATTGTGAAATAACTTATGTTTTAGTCATATTCAATGCAAATTTCACTATATAAATCTTGTTTACAATTACAAGTTTGAACTTTTTTGCTGAGTTGACCTGAGATTATATATATATATTCTCTGGGGGTGGGGAACAGGTATAGAAGGGTGGCCATAAAGTCCATCTTCTCCATTCAATTCCTCTCCTCCTTCCCCGTCACCGCCTACCTCCTCGTCGACCTGAAAATAATCAACTCCGAGCTGGGCCGCCTGGCCCTGGCCGCGGGGTTGGTCAGCGACCTGCTGAGCAACGCCGGGTCGTCCTACTTCTCGTATGTCAAGATCGCGACCTCGTCCGTGCTGCCGGTGATGTCGGTGCAGGCGTTCGTCCTCACCTTTGGCGCCTTCGCCTTCATCTTCTCCATCGTCCGCCCGCTCACCGCCTGGATCATCAAGCGGACGCCCGAGGGCAAGCCCGTGGACACCGCGTTCGTCGTCCTCCTGTCGTTCTTCGTCTTCTTCGCGGTGGTTGTCACGGACAACGTGGGCCTGAGCTACCAGTACGGCCCGTTCATGCTCGGGCTGATGATCCCGGACGGGCCCCCGCTGGGGTCCACGCTGGTGGAGAAGCTGGACACGATCGTGACGGGGCTGATGGCGCCGCTGTTCTTGACGTACTGTGGGCTGAAGGTGAACCTGGTGGAGCTCTATGATCTCTACTTTGTGATAGTGGTGCTGGTCACCATTTCACTGTCACTAATGGTGAAGTACATGGCAGTTTTCTTCCCAAGCCTGGCCTGCAATGTCCCTCCTAAAGATGCCCTTTCCCTTGCCTTGATGATGAACACACAAGGCATCGTTCAAATGTCTTTCTATTACAACAATATCATCAATCAGGTCTGTGATCAATATATCATCTTCAAGTATGCATATATAAATATTTAATGACTATGGCCCTAAATTTGTTTTCTTTTTGGCACCCAAATACATATGAAATGCAGACATTTGATGCAGAAACATTTTCCATGTTGACATCGTCGGTACTAATCACAGCAGCGGGAACGCATCTCCTCGTGGGCTTACTGTACGACCACTCCAGCACGTACTCCGGCTACCGGAAACGGAACATCGAGAACAGCTCCGCCACCTCCGAGCTGAGGGTCCTCTCCTGCATCCACCGGCCGGAGGACGTGCTGGCAGCGAAGCGGCTGCTGGACTCGTCTTTCCCTTCGAAGGAGAGCCCGCTGTCGGTGTACGCCCTCCACATGGTGGAGCTGGTGGGGCAGGCCACCCCTCTGCTCATAGACCACCAGCTGGGGCAGAAGCATTCGTCCCGCGTCAGCAACTCGCGGTCGCAAAAGATCGTGGACATGTTCCAGTCTTTCGAGCTGCAACATGCCGAGTCTGCGACCGTGCAGTTCTTCACCGCGATATCAATGCCGCGGTTCATGCACCACGACATTTGCTCCTTGGCTTTCGACAAGCTTGTTTCTTTCATCATCCTTCCCTTCCAGAGGAAGTGGAACAACCAGGTGAGAGATTTGGATCTTTAATATGGTACTCCTTCTGTCTCATAAAGTCAGTCATGTTTCGAAAAATTTGTGTCCCTTAAAGTCTGTCCTGTTTCTATTAAAAAATCACTTTTACCCCTTACTTTTTCATACCCTACCTATCACATCATACCTTTTTTTCTAATAATCTACTCATCACATCCTAATTTTACCCATCACATCAAGGGTATTTTTGGAAAGTCAACACAAAATTATCCCACCTTATTTTACCACTTTAGTCAAACCGTCCCAATCTTTATGCTCGACTGTCACCATGTTTCACAATGTTTCATCAGGGTAGGATGATCTCGGACAACCCGGTGGTGAGAACCATCAACACCAACGTGCTCGACATGGCCCCATGCTCGGTCGGCATTCTGATAGACCGACACAAGATCAGGAAACAGGTGGGGACCGTGGGGTCGGCGTACCGGGTGGCGGTGGTGTTCATGGGCGGGCCTGACGACAGGGAGGCGCTGTCGTACGGGAGGCGCATGTGCGGGTCCCCGGGCGGCGGGGTCCAGCTGACCGTCTTCCGGTTCGTGACGCTAAACCCGTCGGAGATGGGGGAGAGCCAGTGGGACGCGGTGCTGGACGCGGAGATACTGAAGAGCGTGAGGCTGCTGGGGCAGCAGCAGGACAATGTGGCGTACAGGGAGGAGAGGGTGGCGGACGGGGCGGAGAGTGCCCTGATAATACACGCCATGGAAGGGGTGTTTGACCTGATCATCGTCGGGCGGCGGCACAAGGCTGACCTGACCCAGCTGTCCGGGCTGACCGAGTGGAACGACCTGCCGGAGCTCGGCCCCATCGGAGACATGCTCGCTGCCGCTGATATTAGCGCTCCGGTTTCGGTGTTGGTGGTGCAGCAGCAGTCTATGAAGAACAGCAAATGATCTCCAAGTGTTTTGCTTCCTTAAGGACAGGCTTTAATGTTTTAGGTTTTTTTTTTAATATGCAAAAGTTTATGTATCCATGTGTAAAGTTTGCTCATTGCTTATAATAGAAGCAGAATGAGATGGACTCTGATCATTTTTGCATGGGGATGTTGTATCTATTGGGAGAAATTCATATAGCTAGTTTTGTCTACTCTCATTCAATTCACAGTGTTGTGGTTACTAGTTACTAGTTTTGTCTATATATTAAAATTTGTTTCATATGGAGCATGGAGTATTTATCTTATTTTTTTAATTTTTAAATTTTTTTGGTTGTGCAACTCGATACAATGAAAGTCCAGAATGAGGAGTTAATTGTTCCAAAGAATTTTGAAATGGCTTTTACCGAGTAATATACTATAGTTCATTAATTAGAACTCATTTTCAACCTTTTTTTCATTTTTTGAAACTATTTTTTCACTTTTTAGTTATCGTATTTTTCATATAAAAATATCAAATTGTATCTATTCAAACAACCAACACCATAAACTCCCTCTAGTTATAAAAAAGAACTCGTGTGTCGGTGAGGCGTAGCTCAGTGGTTGGCATAAAGATGCTACAAGAGAGATCCCGAGTTTGAGTTTGAAGGTTGGGACAGCTCCGATGAGAGACATCCATGCAAAACATGGTTCGTCTGCAAATACTCGGTGCAGAACCCCACCCACCATCCCAAAATATGTTGTGAGCACAATTTTCATTTTCTAAAAAAATGGAAAAGTGTGATCTTTATATAGGTTGATTTGAGACCATAGCTTACATTACTTGGTTCAATCACGAAGTGATTTTTTTCCTCATAACCTCTCAAACCCCCTAATCCACTTCATACACCTCACCCTAGGGAATGAGGGTTTGATGAGAGTCAGAGGATAAAAGTTACTTTGGGATCGAATGGAATATCATATGAACCTGAATTGGACCAATGTCATAATATGACATTGCATTATGACATTAAAGTCTAATGTAAAACGAATTGTGGTGTAAAAAGTTAAGATAAATTAATACTCTCTGTAATAATATTATAAAATTTACATACTTCCTCCATCCAAAAAAATTCTTTCCAAATTAACTTTCTTGGTCAAAATTTTTTATAACTTTGACAACAAATTACATAAAAAAGAAATTGAATTATCATACTCTATGAGTTTAATATCAATAGATTCATAGTGGCTAAAATTGGTTTACACCCAGTAATATTTAAAGGGTGTATCCTGTCATTAGTATCTTAAAGTCATGTTCAAGAAATTTCCTGCAGCTTTTGCAATGGACAATTGACCATACATATAGCATCTTGTGGCTCGTGGTGGGGAGATCATTTAGAACCAAAAGACAATCTTAAAATTGTGTGGCAATGCATTCTTTGGATAAATAGACCACATATGTATGGTTAACCATGCTTGACTCAACATCACTAGCCTGCACATGCATTATGAGGCAATTAAACAAACAAAAATTGCCCTTTCTCCTCTTTTGAACCTCCATGCATGCCCTTCCATGAATGCTTTGGAGACCACAACATTTTTTTTCTTAGGATGAACAAAGAGAAAGTGATTGTTCATCAATGGATATCAGGCATCACTCTGCGTTTGGGGTCGTCAAAGAAGCCGGCAACACCTCCATTGTATGCCAAAACCCAAACAAGGGTGCCCCTAAAGGCATATGGCTCGGCTACGAGAGCCCTTTGCAGTACACCACCCCTTTGTTCATGGCCCAGCTCACCCTCGTCTCCTTATCCTGCTTGCTCATCAAGTGTAGCCTCCGTCCTATGCGCCAACCCTCCATTGTTCCCCAAGTTCTTGTAAGCATTTTCTCGAAACTCGAAAAATTATATTGCAAAACCAGTATCTAAGTAAAAATTTTTGCATATTAATGTTTCTTGGAAATAGCCTTTCTCCTTACGAATAGGGGTAGGGTTGCGTACACACGCCCTCCACAGATCCTATTTTTGAGTGATTCTACGGGGTTATCGTTGTTTGTGTATATGAATGTCTAACGATGATGATAATGATGATGCAGAGTGGGGTGCTCTTAGGTCCATCAATCTTGGGACAATTCGAGTTGTTCCGGCACACTTTTTTCCCGAGGGGGAGCCTCATGATCTTCGACACGATGGCAGGGTTCGGAGTGTTGATCTTCCTATTTGGGGTTGGGGTGGAGATGGAGACAAAACGGATGCTAAAGCCAAGCCGGTCGGCGGCGGCCCTAGGCATCCTAATGATAGCGGGAGGGTGCTCGTTCATGGTCCCGCTATCCCTTCTACTCAGACGCCTCATCGAAATGGACCCCAGCCTGAAACGCACCCTCCCGTACATAGCGGCGTCCCAATGCACCACCGCCTTCCCTAGCATTTGCCCTTTTCTCAAAGACCGGAAGATCATCAACACGGGCCCGGGCCGGATTGCCATCTCCGTCTCCCTCTTCTCCGAGGTCATTGGCATGTCATTGGCGGTCGTGAACTACGCCTTCCAACCCCTCTTGCAAAACCGTGTGGGCCACCCCTTGCTGAACTCCATTGGTGGGCTCATCTCGATGCTCTCTTTCTTGTTCGTCTTGGTGTGCGTGATCCGCCCTCTGATCGTCAGGATCATCGCTCGTCTCCCGCAAGGGAAACCCGTAGGAGAGTCATGCATCATGGGGTTTTTCGTCCTCTTCCTGGCATGCGGGTTGCTGACCGAGGTCATCGGTCAGCATTTTGCAGTCGGGGCACTAGCGGCGGGCATCGTCATCCCTCCGGGCCCGCCGCTAGGGTCAACCATAATCAAGAGGTTGGAATATCCCATCGCGATGTTCTCTTACCCGACCTTTCTTGCCGCGAGCGGACTCAAAACCGACATCTTCACTATCCACGCCAGGAGCTTGCTGGTTCTGTGCATTGTGGTGGTTTTTGCAGCGCTGTGTAAGGTGGTGATAATGGTGGTCATCGGCAGATTCATGGCCATAAGCTTTACAGAGTCTGTTGTTGCTGGTCTTATGTTAAATGCAAAGGGACCCACTGAGCTCATCCTCTTCAACCTCTGGAAGGACATCAAGGTAAATATATATAAATAATACAGTAGTGTGACTAAAGTTACCCTGTTTGTCTAAAATGGGGGGGTTTTTCATATAAATCGCTCCCTCATTACAGCTCTGTTTGAATGAATCTGCAGATTCTCAATGATGAGGAATTCACTCTGGTTGTGACGGTTTGCGTGGTGGGAACCATGGTGGTGCAGACGCCATTGATATGGTTGTTGCTGAAATCAGTAGGGGATCAAACGCCCTTTAAGCGGAGAACAATACAACACCTAAAACAAGACATGGAGCTAAGAATACTGGTAGCCATCAAAGATCAAGAAACCCTTCCTTCCATCGTGAACATTCTAGAAGCTTCCAATGCCTCCGAGGAACGTCCGGTCGCCGTCATAGCTCTCATCCTCGTGGAGCTTGTGGGCCAGGCGGCTCCAATCCTCATCGCCCACCAATCCTCTCAACGGAATCTCCACGCGGACACTTCATCCTCCGCACAAATCATCAACGCGCTGAGACAGTACGAGCTCAACAATGAGTCCACCGTGACCGTCCAGCCGTACACGGCCGTGTCACATCCTGAGATCATGCACGACGACATATGTAGGTTGGCAATTGACCAAAATGCCACCCTTTTGATCCTCCCGTTTCACAAGCACTGGGCGATTGACGGTTCCATTGGAACCGTCGATAGAGCCGTTGAACACATGAACTCCAAAGTCATGGAGAAAGCGCCATGTTCTGCCGCAATTCTTGTGGACAAGGGGACCTTAACCGGTTCCTTAACAATATTGAACAGCCAATCCATTTATAATGTGGCCATGATCTACATCGGTGGTGCCGATGATGCAGAGGCCTTATGCTATGGGGCCCGCATGGCGAGGCACGCTAATGTGAACCTCACCGTGCTACGGTTCCTCTTATTTGGGTACGACAATGCCCGCGAGAGACGTCTGGATAATGACATCATCGAAGCCATTCGCTACGCAAATGCCGGAAACCAGCATTTCAGGTACCATGAACATGTTGTGAGGGACGGCGAAGGATTCGTCGCTTCACTTAGGAACATGGAAGATGTTTTTGATTTGTTGTTAGTGGGGAGGAGCCACCAGGACTCTCCGTTGCTAGAGGGGATCGGGGCATGGATCGAGTGCCCCGAGCTTGGGGCAGTCGGTGACTTCTTGGCATCATCAGATTTCAGCAGTACCGCCTCACTGCTGGTGGTGCAACAGCAGAGAATTGGTGGGAAGTTGGTCGGTAGAGCTACTAAGCCGGTGGTGGTTCACACCCAAGACTTTATGTTCGAAAACAATTCATCTAGGCATAGTGGGGTAGCGCCCCCGTCATTCGGTAGCGAAAATTCTAGATGGGATAGGGTTTAGCATGATTTGTATCTCAGATCAAGTAGAGAACACACGTATATAACATTGTGTTTTACTTTTCAAGTATGCTCTTAGTTAAGGTGTATTGGAAATAGTCTCCTTACTACCAAGTAGGAGTAAGTTCTACGTACACAATCCTTGCCAGACCCTACTTTTTGTGGAATTTGATTGTGCCTGTTTTACACCGCCCCAACAGGAAGATAATTAAAAACTTGAAAAGGAAAAAAAGAAAAAGAGAACGGTTAAATTCTATCACCGTGTGTTATCCAGCCTCTCTTGCAGCTTCTGTTTGGTCTTCTCAAAAGCTTCTTCTAAAACCTGCATCTGAATATGGCCATTCACTTCAGTATTATTCAACTCTTTGTAATTAGCATTAGAGTTACGAATAGTAATTGTTTGATGATGTAGATTAACGCACAAAAACACTAAAGTTAATCCCTGATGCTAATATGACAAACAAGACATTACTTTTGGAGAGTAAATTGCATTTCGACATATATTGATTTCGGAGAAAAAATCTGGAGATAGATATTTACCTGCTGCCTGGCAAACCTATTATGAATGAATAAGCCGCTAAACAGGTCAAAACTGTCTTTTACAGTGCTCTCCTTCTGCAAGTAGTTCATCAAGAATGTGTGTCTTACTGTCTTATGATCATTACAAAAAAACAATTATTTGAAGAGATATTTGTTGTAAATACCACTTGAACAAGCTTCTGAAACCCCTTTGTGTCCAAGGGTGTTGGCTCAACCACCATTTCTGATAGGATCCTGCATTGAAGGCATACATATGTGTTTATAAGGTAATGTTGGACTAGACTGCTAATTCATCCAGTACAATAATATTTTAGCTTGATTTGACACATTGCACTATGGGTTTAAGACAGTAATCATGTAATAGAATGGTCTAAACCAAATGATAAATTGTGAATTTAATAAAATAACACATAAGTTTCACGCGTTAACACATAAACCATGAATTTAATAAAATAACACATAACTTCAGTGTACCTTCCAATAGTGTGAGTAAGAAACTGAGTGCGAGCAGCCAATTCGTCGTGCTCTTCGCAGCCCATTTCCAGCATCCTGCAACCCTGTCCGGACAGACCATCACATTGCCGCACCATATCAGCACACTACCCTACCACAATTTGTTCATTTTCAAACAGAACTGGTCTGGTGCCTTGCCTCACTAGAAAATATATTTATGAAACTGGAACACAGAGCTTCATCTCTTATTCGAACTTTGTCGTACATAAACGTCAGATCTTGCCAACCATTTTCCCCACTTTCGGGTCCAAACATTGGGTGCGTACAAAGCACATCTGAATCCTCGGGAAGCACCTTCCATTCCAGAAGACATCATATCACATGTTAAGGTTAAATCATACAGAATCATATCACATTGATAAATGCACTGATGTATTAAAAATGAAGAAGCAAAAAATACATCATTCTCAATTCCCAGGTCATTCTTGCCGAAAGCTGATATAGATAGGGAACTTATAATTGGAGACTACTTATACTTTGCATTAGGGTTAATTAAATTTTGTCATGACTATAAATTGATTCATTTTGATCATTCAACTTTGATTTGGGCGAATGAAACGATTCATTTTGATCATTCAACTTTGATTTGGGCGAATGAAACGGAAAGATCTCCATACCTGCAGAAGAAGATTTCTGGGATATTCCTTAACGGAGAGGACATCAACGAAGAGAGTGGGCCGTTTAAGAGACCCGAATGGCATAGAATTGATAACTTGTGATAGAGAGAGGATTGAAGTGCATATCAATACCACTTCATTCTCCGATTCCAGAAATTCATCCATATCCCTGCAACCAAACAAACAAGATCAGCAGTTTCCTGAATCGATCTTACTGCGCAGGCATTAAAAAATGAGCTTCAATCTACCTGTGAAATGGGATGCCGAGTTTTTGGCAGAGTTGAGAGTGATCGGATCTAGAAGTCGCCCTTAGGAAATGGCCCTGCTTTGTCATGGTTTTTGACAGGAACTGTCCGAAGGTGCCGAATCCGACTATACCAATCTTCAGGGCTCTGGTTGAAGACGAAGACGATGGAGAAGAAGACATGATGATTTGAGGATAATAATCATTGGATTGGATACACTCCTAAATATAGTAAGCTACGGGGTTTTTGAATGAATCTGTCCGTTTCAAGCTCCCACCAGTCAACTATGTTAAGTCCAACTCCGCGCGACCGGAAGTCGGATTGAATTCGAGCGGCTACTTTTTTATTGTGTAGAGGCTCATTAAAAAATGAAATAAGGAGTAATAATTTGATTACAAAAATGGGGTTTATTAGGATAAATATTTTATTTTTTAAAATTATTTTAATTACAAATTTGTATATCGGTAAGAAATAAAAATTACATATTAAAAAATTACGTCAAACGTTCTACAAAATAAGATTTGATATGAATATTTTATTTGATCAATGAAATAGCGTAAATAAACAAAATGTTATCGAGAGGAGGGATAGGAAAAAAATGTAATCAAATTGGAAACAGAAGGAGTATCATTTTAAAAAAATTATTACCGGACATGTTACTCTCGATCTTATTATTTTTCGAAATATATAGGGTGTTTTAAAATATCTGAAAACTAATTTCAAATGAACTGTTTGTCCACACCTTTGTCATACCTACTTGCTTCATTATCTCATCTTTTTTAATAAAATTCGTTACTTCGAGTCCTATCATTTTTTTAAAATATACTCTAGGTACCTTAAAATATTTTACTCTAAAAGTTACCTCGGAGGGATTTCCTATTATTATTATCATCGTCGTCGTCATCATCATTATTATTACTACTCACTCCGTCAGAAAAAAATTTCTCATTTGACTTTCTTATTAAAGTTTGTAAACTTCTGACCTTAATTTGCAAAAAAATTTCATTGTGTTATTATACTCCGTATAAATTTAATATGAATAAATTTTTTTCGAAACAAAATTTTGATATGTTAATTTTTTCTAAAATATATTTATGTATAAATATTTATAGTAGTGGTCAAAACGTTACATTAAAAACCGTGAAAAGTAAGATAAGAAGAAAATTTCGACTGTCGCCATTGCTCAGTGGTTGCTAGGAATATTGGTGAATTTTTTATCTCAATGTTTGGTTTGAATCATTCAACCATATTTTTTTTTCCATTTTTCCCACCTCAAAATAGAAGGAAATTTGATTTTTCCTTTTTTGGTTTATTTTCTCATTTCACTTTCTTTTTTTGACAGTTTTTTTCTCTAACCAAACGAGAACTTATTCTCCATATCATTTTCTTTTTTTTTTTTCAAATTCTTTTAACCAAATATGAGAAAACAAAAGAACACACTATTCAAAAATGTAAGAGAATGAAACTTCTCTATTGATTCAAGTAGTAGAAAGTCACTCACCAAGGGAAGAGTTTTACTTACCTTTTCCTTGAATTTCCTTTCTGATTACTTTCTAAGTTCTAACATACCAAAATTGTTGTTTTTTTATTTTTCTTTTAATATGAAGGAAAATGAGACTGTTTACTTTCACAATACATTAAATAAAAGATGGGAAAACCAATCTCATGTCCATACCTCTAATCTCTTCTCACTCAATTTTACAGTCTCAGCCTTCAAGGAGAATGTTGACTGTGTCAATGCATCAACACAAATCCAGTACACAGTTCACACAGTGGAATTACACAAGACATTGGGAACTAAAGCTAAGAAAAAGCTAACAATATATAGTCATCCAACTCTTCCTTACACATATCATTGTTTAGCATATCCCCTTGTTTCGTCTGCCACCGCCTCCCAAACATTGGAAATTTTTTCTGCATATCCTGCCTGATCAACACAAAAGAAGGAAATTGGCATCTCATCTCCCGACCAGCACGACCAAAATGTACATTTTCTAAAAACTCCATATGGGGTGTTAAGAAAAATAGAATCTAATGATAAGAAAAATAGAATTTAATGATATCAATGGCTAATCAAACACTTAGGGTAATAAGAATCTAATGATATCAATAGAATCTAATGATATCAATGGCTAATCAAACACTTAGGGTCGGTCCATTTGGGAGGGGGAGGGGAGAAGGGGAATGACTTTCTGAAGTTACTTTCCCATTTTCTGGTGTTTGGTTGTTGGGGAAAATAGGAGTCAAGAGAAAATGATTTCCGAAGTCAACAGAAACTGAACCTTATTTGGAGAATATTGTCTTCCTTTTTTTTGACGGAAGACATTTTTCATCCTTCTCCTACTTCACAGATCGAAACTCAATACGTTTTATTGTGTTGTGAGAACAAAAACTACTCCATAGTTTTTTTTTTTTCCAAACTTTCAACCAAACGCGAGAAAACAAAATTATTTTCCAGAAGTCATTTTTAGAACTCGTTTTCCATCTTTCAGAATGAACCCTTACATGAAGAATATTACAGGTCAGACTAGAGGAACAATGAATGAAGAAAAGATACCTGATTAACAATAAATCCCCTCAACATGCTCAAGAAATCATCATGCCTCTGCTTTTCTAATCTCTCCAGCTCATTCTTATTGTTTTCCTGCAGATTTTACCAATTGTCAGATCCATTCTTTTAACTATCTTGTGCACCCTCTGTTTGTGGAAGAACGGGGAAACATTTGAGAAGACCTTTCCCGATAGCAATGAACGAAGGAGGGAGAAACGGCATAGCAGAAAAAAAACTACTACTGGAAGCATTAAATCATTTGACAACCTTACACATGATTCCACTAAAAAACGGGAAATATATATTGACCTCAAATGTTATTACGCAATTAATAAGACAAAACTGTGTTAAGGCAAATAGTGTGGGTCCTAACAAGGTCAATGATCACAAGTTATGAAGAATAAACAAGTTTCTCAACATAAATTTAAAAAATAAAACTAATTCTAAGTACAACTCAAATTGGAAGATTTGGAAGAGTTCGATCTGCTGTGGGCTAAAATGCCCTTCATACAAGAGAAGTATACCCTGCCGAACCCTTGAACGTTAGCTTTTTCCAGACAATGTTATCACCGACAGTTCAAGCAAAGACCCATAGAGAGCAATACAAATAAGCATTAGAGAATAAAATGAGAATGAAAAAAATGGAAAAATCATAAGCTTGACCAAAGTGAAGTAAGGTTCTGAATCCCTTTGAATAGTGAACTACGATGATGTTAACAAGTATAGAAAAACTACCTTGATCCGCTCGTATTCTCTGTCAGCACAAATTTTGGCATCTTCAGTCACTCTTACAGTTTCTCTCAGCTCTTCTATTTTTCTAAATCTGGACCTGTCCCCACCAAATATCTTAGAAGAGGCAGCTTCAAGCTTTTCAATCTTGGAATTTAATGATGATAGTTCTGATACCAATGTCTGTACTGTCAACAAAGCACTAGACCGGTCTGAAAATGCATTATTGACAGCCAGCATTGTTCCAAGATACTCATGAAGCTTATCCTGCAATGAGGACTAAAATATGTAAGTATTTTGACCTTTACATTAACATGGATAATATCATTACAAGTATTATAATGAGGTACCAAATGTTTGACTGTCTGTGCATTCAATTCTCTATACAATCTGCTTGCTTTTACAGATGCAGTTGCCACGTTTTTCATGTTGGTAGCTCTTGTTCTTTGAGAATCATACATGGCTTCCTCCGTCTCAAACTTAGTTAATTTAACAAACGCTAGGCCCAATTGACCCAATGTTTCTCCAATGTCTTGCTGAGCTTTCACGAGTACTTCAGCCTGAGAAATATTCCAAAAAAGAGAAACAATAAGCATTCATATTCAGTACACATTGTCAAAAATGACTCTTTTAGCCTCCATGAGCAATGGAGGTTTGGCTGCTTATTTTTTAAAAGAAAAGATGATTGGCAGCATCCATTTCAGCCAATGAGAGTCAAACTGTCAAAATCTACTTTTTCTCATAATTAGAAGCAGGATGAGCATAACAAGCCGATTATATATTTATATATACCAAATGAAGCCTTAATGTGAGTTACAAGAAATATAAACAAATAGCTACACTTAATCATATTATGCAATGATGTAACATTATGCATTGATTGCATCTCTTGGTAAATCCCGCAGTCATTCTTATATCAAGTCCTGTATTAAAAGCACAATTTATTTCCTTATATGTCTAAACAGAAATAGGTATCATCTGTGAAGGGATTAGGAATGGTTTATAAATTAACCTCTCGTGACACATTCGTGAGCTGCTGTTCGAAATACTGCAATTTATCCTTCTTCTCCAAGAACTCCTTATCCTCCTCCATTACAGCCGGCTTCACCCCACCCCAATCATTAGCCACTGATTGTCTTAACTCCTTAAAAATCCTCAACAGATCCATCCCTCCCTTGGCAGGCTGCACCATCTCATTTACATCCATGGTTCCTGCCCCTCCGATCTCCCCTAAGAGCTGCCGTGGAAGATTCGCTGCCCCACCCAGCATCCTAGATGCCACATCAGTGGTCTTCACCAGAGGCAGTCTTCCTTCCGCCTCCAAAAACAGTCTCAACTCCTCACTAGTCCAAATCACTGGGTGTGCCGCCAGCCTGCGCAAGTACTTCTCCAATGCCACCCTCCTCTGCTCAACAAACTCGTGTTTTTGCATTACCTGACTCTCTACCACACTCTTGTCCGGCCTAACTGGGATGAAGAAACCTCTATAAGCTTCTGATAACCGGTCCGACAATGTCACCACGTCTCTGAATCTTCTTCTTGTGCTAAATTCAGTTCTGTGGTATTGAGGCAAGTTAGTTCTCGTGGTGATGAGGTAGGTCACAAAAGTATTCCCTCCTGGGACGAGTGAATTTGAGAGCTCCTGCTCCTTCTGTGGATCTGAGACTGTGATCTGAAGGTAATCAGACATTGCCTTTGATGAGGACGAAGGAGAAGGAGAAGCTCCGGTTTGATCATGACTGTCGACTTCTGGTGACGTGTGGTCGGCGTCGAAGGATCTGAAAATGGCATCAGCATAAGAGGGAGGTTCGAGGATGGAATTGAAGGAGTTAGGGTTTTGACTTTGACTCGAGCGAGTGTTCAGAGGGTCATCGTCAGTGGAGATTTCAGCGAAAGGTAGCGAAGAAGACGACAATGGGTCGGTGAAAGGCTTGCGGCCATTAGAATTCGAAGAGCGACCATGATCTTCGTCGAGGACGAGGGACTCCATTTCTTCCTTAGACGCATATAGACGAGCATCCTCGAAATCCTGATTCTCATACCCCATCATCTTCGCTGCAACTAATTCACAGATTCACAAATCTACAAACTTTAATCACTGAAATCAGCATCCACGATGAGTAAACGGGATTCAGATCGGGTATGCTAATGAAAATAAAATTGAACGGATCAAGCTAAAGTATAACATCGGAGCATGGTTAATGAACGTCGGAATCGGATTTAGAAGAGCCGAATTCCGGCCGGCGGGGACAAAAGAAGAGACCTCTGCTTGGTTGTTGAGCCATCTCAGGAAGACGATTATTCGGAGTCTACGCCTGAAACAAGACACGTGAATAGCACGTGTCAAGCAAAGGGGGTAAATACTTACTCTCTCCATCCCTAAATATTTGTCACAATTATATTCTCGATATAAAATATCAAGTTTTTTTAATTCACTTTATTTATATATTGGTATAGAAATAAAAAATAAAATTTTTATGTAAAAAACTATATGACAAGTTTTTTAAAATAAGAGGTGCCAAGAATATTTTATTTTATCAAATAATCAATGAAAACGTAGAAATAAACAAAAGTTCCCGCGACTGCTGAAAAAGCAAATGCTGCAAATATTCAGGGATGGAGGGAGTAAGAGTTAAGACTCGTTTGGATTATTTATTTGATAAATACTTGGTGAATAGATTAAGTACACCACATACACACGAAGCCTAAAATAGACACCCACAAATACTTAATATATGTACATGCAGAGACATTAAATATCTGTGTGTGCCTATTTTAGACTTGGTGTACATGTAGTGTACCACAAGTGATGTTTCCGTAGCACTCCTCATATGGTGAGGCATTCGGGTGGGCATTGTACAGTCGGCAAAGATATGGGGTGTCAAAGGGGTCGATCTGAGTTCGGTTCCTGACAAACTGCATTGAGAAGCAACTATGTTATGCACATCTACACAGTTCTCTACAAGTACAAGGTGCAAGCTCTACTGCCTAACACCAATCTGCGATTAAAATTCAATTTATTATCTCTTAGTGACCGCTTGGCCGGGTCTGAGGGGGATCTCATGATGATACTCATTCTTTTTTTGGTGACTTATAAAAGTAATTTACATTTAATATATTCATATATTAGAAATTTCAAAATGAGAGTTTTCATATATTTCAAACTTGAGAGATATCAATATGGAAGTATAATATCTCTTGATCTCAATCGTCAACCATCCCCCATCGCAAGATTACATATAATTTTATTACTCCCTCCGTTTGGAAAAACCCTTCCCATTTGATTTGGGGGCAAAAATAAGAAAGTGTTAAATTGTAGTTGATTTCCAATTTTGCCCCTGATGTGATGGGTAAAAGTAAGATGTGATGGATAGATTATTAGAGAAAAAGTATGATGTGATAGGTAGGGTATGAAAAAGTAAGGGTAAAAGTGGTTTTTTAATAGAAAGGGGAAGTGTTTTGTTGGAAGTAGAAAAAATGAAAGAGGAAGTGTTTTTGAGAACGGATGGAGTAGCTTTTACTAAAAAAGATTGAGTATATG